ACGGGAGATCAGACGAACCGTGAACCAGGGGCATGCGGCGTAATTACACCTAAAGGTGATAGAACCAGGGTATTGTCTCTTGAACTGGCTAATTGACCGTACATATAATTGGTAACTATATTGGTTTTGACACCCGTGTTTCGTGCGCATCCCGGCTCATAAGCAGAATACAGACAAATGAGGCCCTGTGATCAGCGGAGCGTGAACAACATGGATGCCGCCTTTCGGCCGTACCGAACAGTCAAGCTGCGATCTCAGTACTGCTCGCCCGATTGAATCCAATTGCAAGCGGAGACAAGATTACTTCCCTTACCCAAACATGATCGTTGCTCAGAAATGTTCAAATCTATCTTCAGTAAATCATGAAATTAATGCGAGCATGACATTTATGCGAAAAATGCGATTGTCAGTCCCTCTGATTATTTTAATATGTTTCATTTCATCATGATAAAAAATTTAGTCACTTATAAGGTTACCACGTTGAAAATGGAAACGATCGTTAACAAAAACAACAAAATGTATTCTCTCATCACTCAGCCTAACAGTGATATAACTGCAAATAAACCAATCAAGTGCGCTAAAGTATTACACATGGTGGGTGGAGGACCAGGGGCACTTTGAGTTGACAGGTGTCATCAACTGGTCAAGTAACGTCACGGTTTGTATATTCACGTTGATTGGACAGTCTAGACTGGCGCCAACTAATCATGACAGCATCTTCAGAACAGAACAGAACTTTATTTCTCCCAGGTTTAGGCTCACGTGGATAACGGTGAATTTTGTTTTAGTGATAGCACGTTTTTAATTCAATCTAATATACTTTCCTTGATTGATTATATGACTGCGGTCGTAGATCCGGATGTATCTAAATATGCTCAGTAAATACACAGGATTTATTGTTATACTATTAGGATTAATAGATACAATTGAGTATTTATACCCTTGATCATAAAGTTAGTCACTACTTTTATTTTCACATGTTCGATTTGTATGATTTGGGTTATGATTAAATTGACAAAATAAGAAATCATTCAGTGTATATGTGTAATATATATTGTACCCCAATACGTAATTAAATTGTGTATAAATAAGGACACTAGGTTAATTACTGTAATTGATTATTTGATAAACATATTCACCTTTAGTTGCGTAATATGTCACAGAGGTAAAGCTAATTCATAACAACTAATTGTCCCATTTATTTGGCTTCTATCTTTTATATGAAACAAATGCTATAACATGGGGTGATAAACTTCATTGGCAATAGACGTAGCATATAATTGTCCGCATGAACAGTCTACTCTGTTCCAGATATGTTTATTCATTTGGTCAGCATTTAAATCGTTGCATTACTGGCTCAATGATTCATTTGACGAAATCTTGTTCCCTGTTTTGAATTACCGTCAGATAGTTCCAGACCAATTATACAATTTCCCACCCTATGTGTTACGCATAATTCCGAGATAATTCGAAGTTCATATTCTTGTTCGAACACTTATCAAAATTCATTTATACCTAGTACTATTATGTAAATATGTATATTAGTTCAAATTATAATAATGAGGCCCTTTATTCTTGAAACGGTCTTTGTTCTACAACAACCGTAAGTCGGTATGGGAAAACAAAATATTTGTTTAATTGTTCAAAGTTAATAGTCAATGTCATATGATTATAGACAAGGAAGATAAGAAATTAAATATAAAGAGCAGCCACTTTAAATGACAGAAATTCATTTAGTTAAATTTGCTCATGATTTGGTCTTTTCGTGTTAAATAGTGCCAAAATACTCTTAATTATTTACTTTCATGTCATTACTAATCTCACATAAGGTCAAACGTTGTACAACGTTTAACAGATATGATTATGACATGTTGTATCCAAACATATCCAAACAAATCCAAGCTTGGAAATATGACCTTGACAAATTTTGGAATGGTCATATTTCCATTTGGAATGGTCATATTTCCATTTGGAATGGTGGTATTTCCAAGTTTTGGATTGTTTGGAATGAATGATATTTTGTCCAGTGATAGCAGTCAGGGCGTCCTGGTCATTTACCTTGATGAAACCTTGGAGAATAAGAATCACACCTGGCTACTGTCAGATGGACGAAAAGCACCCATAGTATCATCTGGGAAAGGTAAGTAGATACATCATTGTTTTGCACCCGTGATCTGAGGCTTATTGATGGATGTGAGCTTGTTTTCATCTGAAACAGAAAGTACAACTCCTGGAGAAAATTTGTTTGAGTAAGAAACCAGTTAAGTACAAGACAACATGGTCACATTATCTTATGTACGCCAGTCAGGCAGTGTGAGGTTAACCCTATTGAGCTGAAAACTATAAAGGGTTCAAGGCAAGACATGCAGGAGAATGAAGTGCATATCTCCATTTTCATCTGGATTTCAGGGGGCAGGTGACCATTTCCTTGATTTTGCTGACATCAAGTTTGATCCTAATGAAAGACAAGAGGATTTGTATCAAAGACTTATTGCCTTTGTTGAGGACAATTACTCCGTCATGAGAGTGGTATCAACCACCTTGGCACTGCACCAGATGAAGACGAGGCACTGTCATTAGAAAACTTCATGGTGCTTATCTGGTTGAACTGCCCAATCGGGTAAACAGCGCTACAAAACAGATATCCACTCACGAGCAGTTGTTTCACTGAAACCTGAAATCTCACAGGCACTGGACTCGCTACTGGATCAAATCCGCACTGCAGAGGATGCGTCCTCTTGATGGTCCTCCTGCTGTTATCCATACTGACCCTGCTCTGGGTTTTATCAGTCTTGAGAAGAATAAGCTACTTCAACAGCACAGATTGGCATTGTCAGTCAAACAGCTTATCATGGATCGACATGCTAGTCGTACAGCAAATTCTGTTCACAAGGCTCCTCAAGACCACTGCTTTGTTACTGACAAAATTGAGATTGGTGACTAAGTGTAGCTGCACAATGATTACAACAAAACATGCACAAGAAACTGTAATCTGGTAGTTGCCAAGAATGGTTATGGTACAACATTCGCAAGTTTGTTGGGTTCCAACTACGTAACAATTTACGTTAAACTCTCCGAATGTTACAAGGTGCCCTTTTACACCAAAACATCTCAAGATGAAGTTGCCAGGGAAGATACAACGGACAGAGATGATCAACCTGTCCAACTTGCTCAACAACCTTGTGCACCACAGACTGCTTTTGACATCTTAAGTCAAGATATCAAGAGCTTGACATTATTCCCCAACCTGACACCAGCCTTATTTCAGATCAGCCTGACTCTAGCACTCCAACACAGCCAGATCTAAGCTGACCTACAAATCCCTCTCGTCAATATATATGGCCACATCAATTCGACGACTATGTTCTGGACCTTTGAGTGTTTGTGTTTAACCAATCATTTGTGAGGGGAAGAATAATCCCTGTAGGACAGGGGTCAGTCAACCAACTTTTTTCAGTGCATGTCTATTAAATATATATCTTGACAGTTTCATTCCCTTCACATCATTTTCTGCTGTGTTCTTTCTATGAGCGTCAAGCTTTCAACTCAAACAGGAAAAAAAAGAGACTGTCACGCCAACGCAAGATTGCTTCACAGGTTATTAGAACTGGGAATTATCTCCCATACTCGACTCTCCTTGCTCTCAGGTCTCATTTCGCCTGTTGAATCATAATTAATACAACTGATCCATTAACATCAACTGGCGCCAACCTTCCCATACACTTTTCATTTCATAGCTTTTAACTATTCAATCATTTTCCCAAGCAAATATAATGCAGAACATATCTTAATTGCAACCTTCTTCAACGCATATCTGAAAATTAAAGTACTATAACATCAATATTTTGAGACCCCCCAACTCAGGTTGTGAGGTCATTAGCTCGGGACAGGTGTAAGGTTATAGGCTGTTTCATACATGCATGAAAATACATGAATATTTCCTAAGTTTATCATCATTTTACCTAAATGCAGTATTTGATAAATACTATTTTCATATACGTAGCCCTAGGGTGATTTGTATGCACATGTCTTAATGAAGCCAGAAAAGCATTTTTCAAACATTTCCGACAGTGATTTAGTTCATTTATTCTTGCAGACTTAGAAACATTGTGGAAAGTACATATTTGTTAATAATTTTTGTTCTAATTATTTTTCCCGAAAATATTTGAATATCAATCTTGACAGCAATGTTTTTAAGTGGATGTCGTTGTAAACAGTTTTAACTGTTGACTACATGTCTAGGTAAGCACTGTCTTAATTTTTTTGTTGTACTTACATTCTTTAGGACTATGACTATATTTATGATTTGTACGATCAGATGAATGATCATATGGAAGTAAACTTTGTGTGGAACAAACTGATTTTGAGAGTTACTCTAATCTGAGCAGCTTGTTGGGCCAAGTAGTCATAGTCACTCAGATAAAAGATTTTCAATATTTCTTTGAACCACAAGTGAGGGTTCAGGCAGAATAACGTTGTACCTATTGCTCATGCAGGCAACCACTGGCCTGACTGACATGAGCTTGATTGTGTGAAAACCCTTGTGATATAGCAGATGGGGGGCACACAACTGTTTTGACTCACATTTGAGCAGCCAATAGTTGGCAGAAACAGCTAGTTTTTCACAATCTCACCTGGGTGGTAGGGTAGCCTAGTGGTTGGTTAAAGCGTTCGCTCATCACGCCAAAGACCCGGGTTTGATTCCCGACATGGGTATAATGTGTGAAGTCCATTTCTGGTGTTTCCCGACGTGATATTGCTGGAATATTGCTAAAAAAGCAGCGTAAAACCATACTCACTCACTCACAATCTCACAATTCAAAATGCCTGTTCCTGTGGTTTTCATGTATCCTGGTTGTCAAGTTTGATCCTATGGTCTGTGTTGGTGAAGTGTGATATGCAATGAAATAGGTGATTGTAAAGTATTTAAAGTGGAAATGATTATGGAACATATCTCTGAAAATAATGTTTGGTTTTAATAATCCCTTTTCATTTTTTAGGGGGTCCATGGTCACCATTTGCCAACAACTGGCACCTACGAGATGACTTCAAGCAAAGTCACAAGAGACAAATACTAGCAGACAGGTAGTATTTACAAATGCAGCTAGTAGCTAGTCTTAGTTTATATTACCGGTTATCGCCGTCTGTAAAGCGACCGCACATATGAGGCGACCCCCCCTGTACAAGCCTTCAAAATCGATGTTAATTTATATACCCTGTCTATAAAGCGAAATGGAATGAAGCACGTCACCAGCGCATACACAACCCCTACATTTGCAATAAAAACGTGTTTATCTTCCATAGAAAACAATTACATTGTCTACTTTCAGCAAAGTCAAGGAAACGAACAGATCATAGCAATTAAACTTGGTCAATACAAATTTGAAATTTGAGATAAAACATCACTAGACATGATGATTTACCGATTAAATTGTATTTCCTGTTCTGAGAGGCATAAGATCAATGGCTCTACAACTCATCTTGAGACTTTTGTCAGGGCTATCAAGAAGCCAGACTGACCAGACTGCCAATCTCAATTAGAGAATTTACAGACTTGTGTATCAAGCTGAACCAAGGTGTGTTGAGTAGTCAACTCTTATGTTGAAGGTGGTTTGCATTTCATGCTAGGAACCTTTTAATATTGTAACATTTGTGCAAAATGATTTTAATAATCATATCTCCGATATCTTAATTTTAATTGAGTAAAATTCCGGGGGTTTTTTATCGGCAAATATATGCGCGATGGTAAATTGTAAACCATTTCAGTAAATATATTATCTAAACGTTAAACAGAAAAATAACTTAATTTTCGAGGTCATCATGTCAGTTGCAGAAATACGAATATTCGTGTTAATCGGACGTGTGATGTTATAAAATTTGCAGGAAACAATTAATGACTTATAAATATTCACTAATCCTAATTTCAAGCGTTTTGGCTGAATATTTACAATATACAAAAATAAACAACCCGTGTCATGATGCTAGCAGACGTCCTAAAATCAAACATGGCGCGCTTCGCCCGACCTCCGCATAACTTATTGCTATTTTAATATCAACAAAGTTGACATTGCCTTTATAAATATAACTTGGCGAAAGTTGACGATCTTCTCAATCGAAGAATGTTTTATTCGTCATATTCCGATTAATATGACGAGAGAAAAACAAAAATAAAGATCGGGAATTCTGACAGCACTATTTCAATAAGTGCAAAGGTCACTGGATGTGATGTCACAGACAGGGGTAGTCTGCTGATAATCTTTCGTATCAAAACATTCTGTAAATTTTGAAATAGTTCGCCTATCACATACAGCAAAAACATAAGTCGATACACAGTTTCAGTTATCACCACTAACATGAAATAAAAATGTGACTTTGACGATATGATTCGCGTATATTAGTTAATCCGTTTGACCTTGCATGCTCCCGTGACCCGGAAACGGTAGACGATAAATCAACATGCCCACACGCAAGTTTCTCGGTATCTTTTATTTGAACTTCTGTTGATATTCAAGAATCACCATTCAATGTTACGGTGAATATAAATGGGACATGATTAATATTTCTGCAATGTACACACTGATAAGTTTCACTACAACAAGTGTATCCCACGTAATACGTCTATGGATATCGTCGATCAGCAAGATCACCCTCTACAACAGGTGCGCGAAAATGGGCTTGACAAAACGTGTTTCAAAATAACATCCCCGCGTTGCTGAATATGATAGGGTATAAATAAGCAATAAAAAGCTACATACATATATTCGGTGTAAGTTCCACATGACATTTGGGATAGTTTTCCTTTCGGGAATACATTTATAGATTCTAGCATGATTTTAGAACAGTTTCACGAAGGATTTCTAAATTTATTCCAAAAATATGAAGACCACCATGATTGCGTAGTGATTATAGATTTGTAATTGTTTAATTATTTACTGCTGTTTACAGGTTTTAAATTTTAAGTTATATTTAGTAGTTATATTTTTCCACAATGATTGTGTGTGTGGACAGTAAATATTGGTCTTTGCATCAGCACAGTGTAACTGATCAAACTTCAATTATTATCTTTAGTTTAAACACATTTTTTCAACAATTATTATCTTTCACTCTGAAAATCAACTATGTGAATAAGTAACTCTCTGATGTCATCATTTTAATTTTAGTATTCCATGAATAATGAATAAATCAGATCCTTAACATATACATACTAAACTCATATGGACATTAATCTTGTGCATTATGTGGTTTGTTTCCAAATAAAACAATTCTGAAATATGATTTAATAGGAATGTGATACATTAATTACAGTAACAGTACTTGTAACAGTACATGACGTTTTTGTTTGTTTAATCACAAGAACCATGGTGGCACATAAGCTGGTAAGTTAGCCATATGTTTCTTAGAAAGTGCTATCTCAGTCTTCTGGTTGGAATGAAAAGAAACATGCCTGTGTACATGTTTACCCTTGCCAGATGTATTTTTTTCCAGTCAGCCAATCCATTACTTTTGTTCACCTTATGTGGTCTATTTTATACATACAGGTACTGCTTCCAACCTGTTTTTCCTTTGTATGCAATCACAGTATCACAACTTCCTCAGCTGTATAAAAGCCCCCCTGTCATCATGAAGAAAGAATTATAAAGATATCTGTCTTTCCTTGAATACTCTTTGTCTAAGTGCCAGAAATGTCAGTGTCATAAAAAAGATTAAAAAAAGATTTTCATAAGGACTTTTCTTAGATAGACCTAAGTCAAACCATGTGACAAGTAGAATTATAACTTTATAAGCCCTCATTTCTGAGGTGTCCATATTTTTCACATTTTTATATATTTTTAGGACAAAGCGTGATCCACGTAGATCTGCCTGTTTTGTTATGTAAAACAAATTTTTGTCTTAAAGTGAGAAAAGGAATCATTCAGACGAATTTTTTTTATCCCATTGATTCACGAAAACCAGTTGAAATGTACAGTTGTGACTTTTGTACCCAAAATTTCTAGTGATTTGGTACCCTAATGGGTATGTGATTTTGTAGATCTACCTAGAATTATTTCAAAGATATACATTAATTTTGGTGTCTTAAACTTAACATAATATCACTTTCCTATCAAAGCAATACATTCTAACTTAGGTTTAACCAACTTAACTGGCCTTTTCTTCAGTGACAAGACGTCAATTTCTCTCAAAACTAAACGATCAATTTCAAGGATCACAGTCATAATCATATTATGAACTTGATGAAATATTGTATTATGTGTTCTGTTAATCTACATGAAAACATAAATATAATTATAGATCTATTGTCTTATTTTCTTAGGTACAAATTCACACAGTATTTTGGGTACAATTTAATTTGTTTTGGGTACAAAATCACATATAGGAGCCTAGAATCTATATATATTTACACTACCTCGTCGTGTACCAAAATTTAAACGGTTCAGAGGACAGGAGGTTCTCAGAAAGTTTTCAACAACATCTCTAATATTTTAAATTGTTCTTTTTTGTAATGTTAGACCAATAACAATATTATGTTGTTATTATTATGGCATATCAATACGTTATATCGCTCACCGTTGCATTCGTTTTCAGAAAATATTTTAAAATTATAATCATCGAGCGTGAAATCCATTACGGTTTCGGATTTAGACTTACACATTTGATGGCGACAATCACGAAGAAATATGAAACAAATAGGAGTGAAGACTGCTCTCCAGATCAATAAATAGTAAATAGTTGACGTATTTTCTTTTGAATTTGAATCTATTTCGGAATTTCTTTATGATAGCTTACCAGCTTTTGCATATTTTGCTTCCATGTGTCACATGCGGTATTTTTCCGGTTTCAGAAATGATACCTAAAATTGCAAGTATTTTGATTATTTCTCGTAAACTGCATTCTGCTATTGAATGGTTTACCTAGAATGTTTATCAGTTCAGATTTTGCGTATCATCCAATATTTGTCATTTTTCGCAGTGTTTGTTGACTTTGTTCAACTCAACAAATCGCGAGTTAGGCCACGCCCAAACGTATCACTGACATTTGTCGGCTTGTCAATGTGTCCGAAAGTTTATCAAACGAAATCATTTGCAAACTCTTTAAAAAAAATAATTTTTTTACAAAGATTTATACATACGTGTCAATAATTCTAGAAAATTAAGTTAGATGTAACAAAATGATTGTAATTGTCTAACGGAATAACTATGCATGTGGAGTTGTTTGTTTACCGCCGTTGCCATGATCATACAAGTTCCATCCAATCGATGATGTTACGATTCAGATTGTTTTTGTTTACAATTAGTTACACCGAAAGTTGCTAATTTTTAGAAATTAAGGAATATGAGTGTTTTCCTTTCGTCAGCAAACAAAAATTTATGATCGAATAGGAAAAATGATGAAATTATGAAGAAAATATCGGACTGCATGCCGCTCAACGTGAAGTGCCAAAAGTCAACAATGGCCGTTTCTGGTAGTTGTGTGCCGAGAAGTTTGCCCGAAACTTTTTTAACTCGCGATATTTTCTTTTTGAGGTAAATAAATGACTGAAAGTTTTGATATTGAGCAAGCTGAGCATTTATGCATGTCATACGTAATTTAAATGTTACGCAAAGCCTTCTTGGTAAATAGATATGGCGAGTTTTATTTTGGGGTGTCGTTATGCTATTCGCCTGTCGAATGGGTTCGACATTAGATGCACGGGAAGTGACACCTCTGTCGAATGGGTTCGACGTTAGCGTGCAGAGCTTTAAGGCATAAAAGACTGACCCATTTCAGAATGGTGTTATTTTCCCCTCACACAGACTGTATGAGACCCCGTTGTGCTGCCCAGTTTCCCCAATTTAAGCCAAAACAATAAAAAAAATTACGTATCCTGCATTAATCCTAAATGCATTTACTGCCTTCTTTTGAGAGAAAATGAAGCTGCAGGGGTCCAGATAAGAAAGAAAGTTGTTTCACTGAAGTGTGAGGCTGGACCCAGCAGATGAGACCATGTGACTCCGATATGATGACGTCACGTAAATACCATATTTCTGCTTGTCACCAAACAGACATGCTGCTCTAATTAATTGTCCATTCTTGGATTAAGGTGTTGT